GGGGCGGCGCGTGAGCGAGCGAGCGAGCGCGCGAGGACAGGAGGGAGGGAGGGAGGGCCGGCGGGCGCCGCGCGGGGACACGCGAGCCGAGCCGAGCCGAGCCGAGCTGGGCAGCGCAGCCGCGGCGCCTCCGCCCGCCTCCAGACCGGCGCCGGACTTGGTCCATGGGGGGCTTCGGCCGCGGCGGCGGCAGCGGCAGCAGCTGAGGGGGCACCGGCGGCGGCCAGGGGCGCGGGGGCTGGAGCGGCGGCGGCCAGGGGCGCGGGGCGCGAGCCGGTGAGTGGTGCGTGTGCGCGCGTGGCCGTGGGGCTGCCCGCCCCCTCCGCGGGTAACGGTCTCGGCCGGCGGGCGGGCGGGCGGGCGCCCCCTCCCCCGGGCCGGGGCGGAGCGGATCGGCCCCCTCCCCCTCCCCCGCCCCCAGCCCGGGGCCGAGCTGCGCCCCAGGGGGAGGGGGGGGTCGTCCCGCCCCGCGAGCAGAGCAGGGGCCCCCGAGGGGGCGGCGGGGGGAGGGGTCCCTTCCGCCCTGCCCAGCGCGGGGGCGCCCCCTCCCCTTCCCCCGCCCCCCCCACTCCTGACGTCCCGCTCTGAGTCCCGGCCGGGGAGGACGCCCGGGGGCGCCCGCGGCGGGTCCCCGGCTCCGGGGAGTGGGGGGCGCCCGGCAGGAGTTAGCGGGGGGCCCGGCCGCGGGCGGGCGGGCGTGCGTGCGCCTTTTCCCGGGGGAGCTCCGGTGCCCGGCTGACTGCGCCCACACTGCTGCAGTGAGGGCACGCGGGCGGGCATGCGGGCACCCCGGCCCCCCAGCGCCCGGCCGGGACCTCGCGCCTGTGCCCCGCACCCGCGCGCCCGCCCGGCCTCCCCAGGCTCCCGCGAGGATTCCCGGAGGGAGGCCCCACTTTTTCTGCCCCATGGAGGGGGGCAACCCCTCATCCCAAATTAGCCGAGAACTTTGGGGGGTTGTGATGGTTTTGAGGTCATCTCTTACATAACCCGCAGCGCTCCCCGATCCCTGGGGTTCCTCCTCATCTAGCCCATGGCTGCCTTAATGTCCGTATTAGTGACAACTGGCCTTCGCTAGAGGCTGAGCGTATGCAGCAATCGGTGCCTGGGACAAACTATGCCTGTGCCTTAGATGCCTTCTCTGGTGGACTCTAATCAATTCCGTTTGTCCCCTGGGGTGGCAGGATTTCTAGATGAATTTATTTTATAGAGTTAATTATTACTGGAAAAATCCAGATATTTAAACCTGAACTCAACAAAACTGCAGGATTTATCCTCCCCCCCCCCCACCCCATTGCATTGTGTGTTGGTGGGCTTCATTTACAGAATTAAAAATTTCAAAGATTTACCGAGTCTTCATTCCAGGCTAAATGCTGACCCGGAGGGCTGTCCAGCAACCTTTCCTGACTTCTGATTCGGATTCCTTGTGATATCCCCAAAGAATCAGAATCGTGGACTTCAATGTGTGATGACTTTGGGAAAAAAAAGTGTTTTTTAAAATGCAGTTATGGGTCTGATGTTTCACGTCCTTTCGGTGCTGCGTACCAAGGAACAGTTCCTTTCTTTAGATCTTTGGTTTCAGAAAGCTGGGCTCTGCTAGCTTCTGGGACTCATTTCTGCAACAATAGTAAATATTCTGGGATTTAAGAGTCAAAAGCTATCTAATAAGTAACTAAGAGAATTTATGTCGGAAAATAGAAAACCCATCTGTTCCCTCTGCCTTGCTAAGGAGTGCAGAGGATGAATTTCTAGGTAATTCTGAAACTTGCTATTTTGTAATACAAACATGAGGAAGCCAGGCGTACTGTTGTCAGCGATTTTCCTCTGGCAGGTGAGTCTCTCAAATAACTGTAACTTTGTATCTGATCTTTGTGGGTTTCCAGCGATAGAGAATTAGTGCCGGAAGGGTCCCTGAGAGCTCGCTGTGCGTTGAGGACTGGGGATAATGTTTAGACTGCCAAGCATAGATGAGAAGCTTTTCAGTTGCATTGGAAAAATAATTGCAATTTGCTTGAATTGTAGATATCTTCCCTCCTTCCCCAGGCATTTTCCCCCTTTGAGTATCCCTTAGCTAGGGAAGAAACCTCAGGCATATGATGTTAGTTTTGAATTCAGTCTTCTTGTTCTTTTTGTATGGTCCTCCCCCAGTCCACCCTTAGTCTATGATTTGGGGCAGCCTGACCTCCCTAGAGTTGAACATGAACTGGGAGCATTCTAGTGTCCCTGCTAAATATCTGTAACCACTGGGGGGAGATAGTACAGTTTAGATTAACCATAACCCCTTGTTCACATAGACTAGCTGTTAAGCTTGCCTGGGCAGTTTGCCAAATTGCTAGCAATACGTTGGTTGAGGAAGTAGACAGCAGCACATTTTGATCAAGGTGTCTGCTGATTTTTTTCCCCCTTTCTTTAAAACACACAAATATACTGGCACTTTCAAAAGGTCTCTTTAGAGAAATGGCCTCTTTTCTTCCAGGTTTGCTGTAAATGGTTTAACCATAGAGACTAGCCATTGGAACTTCATTGGTCTCAACTGTGACCCCTTCTGAGCTTTCTCCCAAAGCATGACTGTGTTGACTTAGGAATCAGGTGGGAAACTACCTGGTAAAAGCCATGCAGAGAGAAGGGGTTTGGAAGGATCTTGGGAGACCATCCCTCTTTCCAGAGAAGCTGTCTCTAAACTCTCCCAAGCAGATGGGGAGCCTATTTTTAAAGGATTCTAGAGAAGGAGATTTCGAAGCATCTCTTATAATTCATGCCAATTTTTCAACGCCCACAGTATGAGGAAGTTCTTCCCTTATCATAATAGAGACAAGATTGGAACCCAAGTCAAGTACTTTGAACAGCAAGCTGTCAGTTATGCCCACCATGAAGACTAAAAGAATTTTTCGTCAGTTGGGAGAGCGTTTCATGTTTCTGTTAAGTACATTGGCTTTAATGTCTCTCTTCCTAATTATGCTGTAGGAAAAGCCCAGTAAGCGAAATATATTGTCTATAGAATGTTTACAGGGAATAAAAATACATCTAGAATCTGCAAGAATCATGAAAGAATTATTTGATTGAATTTTTGGTGATCAAGATATTATCTCTTGCTAGTGGGAGAGCATTTTCTTGGCCAATGTAAAACCTGTTCTGCCTCGCACACTTAACAAGCCTGAGAAATGGGCCAGATCTTGTGGTTTGTGGAATGTCTGCAGTCCAGGCTTGCCGGTCTGCCCTCCTGTGACATTCGTTACCTTTCCTGCTTTGGTTTCTTCTAGAAGGATTTCTTGACCAGTTTCTATGATCTCTTCTGCCTAGCAGAGTCCTCCTACCACCTAGGGGATTTCAGTCGCCAGCAATCTTTTATTTAGTGCTCGCTATGTGCCAGGCACTGTGCCAAGCCCCGGGGATACAAAGAAAACAGTCCCTACCCTTGAGGAGCTTATATTCCAACAGGAAGACAGCATGTACAAGCTGTTTGAGGGGGGAGGGCACTGGGAGGGCCAGGGGAGACCGTGAAAGGTCACAAACAGAAGATGAGATTTGAGCCGAGTCCTGAAGCAGAGCATTCCAGGCATAGGGCACAGCCCCTGCAAAAGCCCAGAGATGGGAGCTGTGACTCCCTCCCCCCACCCCATCTCCTTGTGTCTGAGGACCTGCCAAGTAGGAAGGCCAGCAAGCCACGTGGCCAGAAGACAGGGGAAGTAGGAAGGAGATGGTCTGGGATGCCACGATGCCTTAAAGGCTGGGTGGGGCTTTGATCTTTGGACGGGCATTTTGTTCAATAGCTGCTGGAGGCAAAGCCCTTTCAGAAGGTGTGCCCAGACCCCCGGAAGTCTGGTTGTTTGGGGCTGTTCTTGCTGTCTTCTGCCTCCCCCAGCCCGGCCCTGCCGTCCATCCATCTTTGCCCCGGGTCCGTAACAGTCAGACCAGAACGGTTCACAGCTCACTAGCATTGGCTGTCTGAGCCAGACCCCCAGGGGAGTCACCCCCCCTCATTTCAGGACCAGATTTCTTAGAGACATTTCAGACTTAGGATGTCTAGCTGAACCTGCAAAGCTTCCCCTTTTCCAAATTGAAGGGGCTGCCATCCTTTCGGTGTCCCAGGCTCTTAACCTTAGCCTTACTCTGGACTCCTCACTCCATGATGTCCAGGTAGAGGCCGTGAGGTGGTGCCATGGATACAGCAGGGGACCTGGTGTGGAAGACCTGAATTCAAATTCCGCCTTAGCAGGTGGCCCTGGAGAGGCCGCTTTACCTCTGCCTCAGTTTTCTCATCTCTCCAGTGGGGATAATAGCGCCTCCTTCTCAGGGTGTTTGAGAAGATTAAATGAGATCATATT